TCCCAAAGCAATTATCCTTAAGCTCAGGTCCAACCACATCATTTCTCTCCTTAACAAACTCCAGTGGATTGCTACTGCTTCTAGGACAAACTCCTCTTTCTGGCTTTTAAAGCCCTTCACAATCTGATCCCAACCTGCCTTTCCAGCCCCATCACACATGATTCCCCTTCCCGAGCTCATTATCTACCCAAATTGGCCTTCTGATTGTTCCCCACACCCAACACATCACCTCCTTTCTCCATGCCTTTTACACTGGCTACCCCGTTATACCTGGAATGTGCTCCCTCCTCAGATTCCCTCATTTCCTTCAAGACTCTAATTAATGTCATCTACAGGAAGCCTTTTTGAATCCACTCCTTATCCACTGCTAGTACCCTCTCTCTAAAACACATTTTAATAATTTTATTCTCTTCACACACACAATAGAACATAAGCTCTTTGAGGGCAGGACTTTCATTTTCATGTCTCCCTAGCACCTAGGACAGTACCTAGCACATTAAAAGGCACTGAATAAATGTTTTCTGGTTCATTTGATATTCTGCAGTGACTAGACACAAGACTTCTCTCAGCCTCATGTTGGGGACCATGAGGCTCTGGGTTAAAATTTTACCTAAGCCACTAAGTCCCTGCAATAAATAGCCTGCTGTTGTTTAGTTGTGTCCTACTCTTTGTGACCCCATTTGGGGTTTTCTTGGCAAAGATACTGGAGTGGTTTGCCATTTCCTTCTCCAGCTCATTTTACAGATGAGGAAACGGAGGCCAACAGAGTGAAGTCACTTGCCCAGGGTCTCAGAGCTAGTGTCTGAAGCTGAATTTTAACTCAGGTCTTCCTGACTCCAGGCTCAGTGCTCCACCCACTGTGCCCCTTAGCTGCCCCAATAAATACCTTAGCTTCCCTATAACGAAGTCAGTGAGGCCTATTTGTCTTGATCAACTCTCCCACTTGGATAAATGCACCATTTCAGGGGTTGAGACAGAAATGCTGATCTGACAGCAGAATAAAATGGGGACAAAGAGGTAGAAATCACTGATGATTTGAACCACCTCCACTTTTCATAATTTGAAATTGGAATGGATCGGTTCCAAATGATTCATTTAATAGATGAGAAAATGGTGCTTAAAGTAGAGAAGACAAGACATTTACACTGGGAAGGCCTGCTGGTAGGACCAAATACCACCACTGCTGAAGTGACAGAGGGAACAATGCTTTTGTGAGCTACCCCTCTGGGAGCCCCCCTAGGGGATGGACAGGGGGCATCTTCTTTGACTGTGAGTGAATGCCCTAACCTCTCACCCACTCTGAAGGACCATAACCTCCTCCTCCCTTCTCTCCTCAATCCCAATCTATTGCCCTGGAAGATCCTGCTACTCAGCTGTCACTTCTACAATCACCCAAACAAAGCTACTGCTGGACTGAACAAAGCCCAGGAACAGAGCCTCAGGCATTAGGTCTCTGACCTCCAAGACCAATCTTCTGGTCTTCAGAACATCCCTTAGGAATGGAGCCTCTGACAGCAGTCCCAGTTTCCCTTACTCCCTGGTATTTGAGAGAGAACTTAGGATGACTTTTACCACCACAGGACCCTTAATGGTGACAGCCCCAGCCAAATGGTCCCTCACCCAATCCCTATGCCTAGCAAATGTACCACCACTTCCTCTCCTCCTCATCCCCATGATTGTCTCAGCTGCCTAGACAAAAATAAAACCCTTTCCCTAGATATCACTTCCCGATATCTCATCCTCATCTACCTTAGTCTTACCTTCTCCGAGTCCCTGTTCTCCCCTTCCATTGTGCCTTCTGAAACTCCCATTCTATTGTTAACAAACAGCTCTTCATCTTAGAACTTATCTACCCTTCATCCATTTCCTGACACATATGAAAACTTGTCCTACCCACCTCCCCAGAAAACACTGCATAACTGTCCTCCTGATTCAGTACTGGAGACGCTTTCAGTCTGGATCAACTCCCCCAGCAGACAATGGACTAGGAGTAGGCAAACTGCTTGTTTCTGCCATTTCTAGACCCACCCTTCAGCAATCACCACTCAACCACACTTCCTCTTCTGTAGGTCCCGTGCCACCTTATTATTATCCTAGATATTCCCCTATCTAGATTATAGTAGTGATTATCTATTACAAGACCCCAAGCCATTTTTTCTCCTCCCCCAACCAGTTCAGTGCTTGGTTCAGAGTCTTCTTTTTCATACTAATTTTTGCCATGATACTCTGAACCTTGGACATATATGTTGATGTTCTCTCAAGCACCCTGGCTTCCCAGTTCATTAACCTCAGCTCGGTGTGCCCCTGGGTATGTCACTTGACCTCTTGGGGCCTCAGATCCCCTCATTTGGAAAATGGGGGAATCCAACTGGACAGGTTTCTAAAGTCCCTCTCAGCTCTAAACTTAGGACCTTCCAAACTTCTGACCCTTAGCTTTCATCCTGCCTCAGGCACACACAGCTAAGGTCATATCCTTGATGCCTCCCTCCACTACCTCCATGATCCAGGATTCTGAAATTCCTCAACTCCTCACTCTCACTCACCCCTCACATCCAGTCAGTCGCCAGGTTCTGTCATTTCATTCTCCTCAACATCCCTTCTATCTGTCCCTTTCTCTCCATTCACACCATAACCACTCTAGTGTAGACCTTCATCTCCTTTTGTATGGACTACTACAATAACAGCAGCTACAATAATGATAGTTAACATTATACAGTGCTTACTATGTGCCAAGCGCTTTACAAATTATCTCATTTGATCCTCATGACAACTGGGGGGGGGTGCTATTATTATCCCCATTTCACAGTTGAGGAAACTGAGGCAAACAGAGGTTGTTCCTTGCCCAGAGTCAAACAACTGGTATGTAAGGCTGGATTTGAACTCAGGTCTTCCTGATCCTGGGCTTGGTGCTCCATCTGCTGTGCTATCTAGTTGTCTATACAATACTACAATAGTACTGGTCCCTCTGCATCCACTCTCCAGTTTCCCAACTGATCCTGCAGAAGCACAGGTCTGACCACATCACTTCCCTGCTAAAGCTCCAATGGGTCCCTATTGTTTCTGGGATAAAACAGAAATTCCTCTGCTTACCCTTTAAAGACCCTCACAATCTGACTTTAGTCTACCTTTCTGAGCTAATTATTTTTATATATATGATCTCCCCTTACATACTGTGCTCCACCAGACTGGCCTCCTTTTTTTTTTTTGGTGAGGCAATTGGGGTTAAGTGACCTGCCCAGGGTCACACATCTAGTAAGTGTTATGTGTCTGAGGCTGGATTTGAACTCAGGTCCTCCTGACTCCAGAGCCGGTGCTCTATCCACTGCATCACCCAGCTGCCCCAACTGGCCTCCTTTCTGCCCCCTGGCCAGAACACTCCATCTCTCATCTCTACGTCTTTGCACAAGCTATCTCCTAAAACTAGAATGCTCTCCCTCTTCATCTCCCCTCTTGGAACCTCGAGCTCCCTGACTGAAGGCGCAGCTCTAGGAGCCTTTTGGACTCCCCAGTGATAGACATCCTCTGCCTCTGGGGGCAAAACTTGGCTAGGATCTATCATTGCCCCAGCATAGCAAACTCCCCACTTACCAACACAGTTCTGGCAAACGTTCTGCAATTCGACAGAAAGTCAACTGGGTACTGAGATGTTAAATGACTTGTCCAGAGTCACACAGGCAATTCATGCCAGAGGCAGGACTTATTTCCAGCTCTTTCTGGTTCTGGGATTGGCTCTCTGCTGTAGCATGCTGCCTCTCATTATCTAGTATATGTCCTATACTCACTTGTCTTTTAGCGTGCATCTTCTTACTAGAACATGAATTTTTGGACGACAGGGTCTGTCTCACTTTTGTGTTTGTATCCACAGTGCCTGGCATGTAACAAGTGCTTACTAAGTGATGGGCTGATACTTAACCCTTCCTTCTTCCTCACTCCACATCTCCAAATCAGCTGACAAGTCTCAATTATACCTCTATATCTCTTGCAGTTGTCTCCTCTCCAATCACATGGCCCCCACCCTAGTTCAAGTCCTTATCACCTCTCTTCTGAACTGTTGTTAACAGCTTCCTAATTGGACTGTCAACTTCTGGTCAATTCCCTGCTCTGATCCATTCTCCACACAGCTTCTAAAAGAACCTGCCTTAAGTACAAATCTGACCAGGTCACTGTCCTGTCCTGACCTTGGGTGGCTCCTAAGGCTTCCAGGAAAAAAAAATAAACACATTCCTCAGCTTGATATCACAGGTCTTGCCAATCTAGTGCCAGCTTACCTTACCAGACTTATTTCACATTAACTCCCTTTCACGTACTGAGGTCCAGTCCAAGCAGCCTACAAACAAGGCATCCCTTCTACTTCTGTGCCTCAGCACCAGCTGCCCTCTATTCCAGGGATGTACTCCCTCCTCATGGGGGCCTCCTGGAATGCTCACTTTCCTTCAAGGTTCAGCTACTGTATCATCTCCAATGCGAAGCCCTCCCTCCCCAAACTACCCTGTAAATACTTCTCTGTCTCCACACATGTAGGCTCCTTGAGATGGGACAGTTTTTCATTGTTTTTTTATCTGGACCATTTGACATACCTACCATCCACGGATGCTGGCAGGATCAAAATGATTGTCCAGCATCATATACTTCATTCTAGGGCTACTTCTACTGCACCACGCTGCCTTGGGGCCTCTGTTCTCCATGGGATCGTCAGGCTCCCAGGAGACCACAGCTCTGTCTTCCCAAGGTTCACATGACTGAGGTGGAGATGAAAGAAAGGCAGTGTGGTACAGCGAGAAAAGCTCTAGCTTTGGAGCAGAGGTCCTGGGTTCAAACTCTGCCCCAGCCACTTGGCCTGTGTGCCTTTGGGCAAGTCTCTTGCCCTTTCTGGGCCTGTTTCCTCAGGTGAAAAATGAGGGATCAGACCAGATGACCTTTAAAGCCTACAATCCCATGCATCACACGAGGATTGCCCCATTCTTTAAAGTCTTTCCCTTCACATACGAAGAAGGCTGGCATTTCCATCATCAAACAGCATTTATTCCACTGAAGAACACTCCACAAGGACCACTAGCCCCTTTCCTTACTCCATTTAGAAACATGTGTATTGTAGAAGCCCCACTGGGACCCTGAGTTAGCTGTAAGCCCAGCCTCATGGTGAGGACTGGGGATGGAGGTGGGGGCGAGGGAGACAACTTGATAGAAGACTGTGAGGGGATAGGGACCTTCCCCCAACCCTCGGATTCTGTTCTAGCTCCTTCAAGTCCCTCTTTTCTCCCCACCTCGAGCACACCCAGAAAAGCCTGGCTCTGCCTCCTCACCCCTCCCAGTACACTTGGGCCAAGGACTAATTGAAGGCAAGGGCTAACAAGTCTTCGGTGGAATCATGTCACTGTACAGCTACAGCATCTCCTCGTCTTGTGGGTGGGGTGGGGGACTGCTGTGACCGGGTTTCTCCCCGCTAGCCCCCAATCTCCTTGCCCCGCAGCCTCAGGGTTTGCCTTCCTTCTGCCTTATTTCCTCCAGAGGCAGGCTAGAGAGAGGACAGCAGGCTATACGATGGTTTCTTCTCCTCTATGACTGTCTTAATGTTTATGCTCCATCCCATATCCCATGTCTGAAGGCAGAAACAGGTAAGAAGAGTCTGGCCTATGGATCCAGGATCCATCTATCCATGCTTTCTAACCCAAAGTCCCCATCTCCTCATCCCCTTTCCCGCCGCCGTCCCATCCTGCCCCAAAGGCTGGTAGGTTATGACAGAAATGTAATCAAAGGAGAAAATAGCGTCATAAAAACCTCTCCTAGGCCTTGGCCGGCCAAAAGACTTCCCCTTATGTGTAAGAGCCAGTATAAAGGATGTGAGGTATTTATAAATGACATTCCAAAAGGATTTTCATGGTTGACTTGCTTCCAGTAGGAAGGATCATTGGTCTGCCCTCACAAAGGCCATTTGCCCAAATACCAGGCATACTGACTGGATCACAAACCCAAGTCCCACAGGCATCAGGTCCCATCTCCCAAGCCTCCCAGGGCAGGACCAGGCCCAAAGCAGCACCATGGGCTGGCCCTAGGCACTCCCTAGGATTCACCCTGTTTGCATGTGGGGGTTCTATCTAGCCTTTACAGGCCCCCGTAGGCTGTTGTCCACCCCTCCCCCCATTGGGGCAGGGAAGAAGCCCAAGAAGTACTCCTTCTGTGCCTATGGGCCAGGACACTCAGCAGCAGCAGTGGTGGGGAGCTCAGCCCCACCGGTAAACCCAGGTTCAGCCACGTGCTCCCCGCCTCATCACTCAGTGGTCTGAATATACACAGGGACGGCCAGCATGGCACAGGGGCCCTCGGCTCCAGACTGCAGTCCCGCCAGGGTCAGGTTGGGGCTCACACTGTCTGAGTGCCCAGGCACCACCAGATCAGGCTCACCACCCACTGAGCTTCCTACCACAATAGACAGCACTGCGTCTGACTCTGGGAAGGGGTCTTTGCCGGAGCCACCTCCTTCAGGCCCTTCGGCATTGCCCTTGAGCTCCTCCAGGCCCAAGGGGTCAGGCAGGGCCACCTTGCGGCCCCGAGCCCCCCGCTGCTTCGTGGGTCGGCGGGCCTGGGCGTCTTTGTCCTTGAGCGGGCCCAGCCGGCAGCGGTGCTCCTTCAGGTACTTGTTCCGAGTGAAGCCCTTGCCACAGCTAGTGCAGCGGTACTTGTAGTTGTCGGTGTGGGAGCGCTGGTGCTCCACCAGATGGGCCCGGCGGCTAAAGCATTTGCTACAGAACTGGCAGTTGTGGATCTTCATCCCTGTGTGTGAGCAGAATGGAGAGAGGGGGCAGGGAAGTCACAGGAGCCCATCCGCCGGGCAGGATCCACTCCCTGGGGCACACAGGGGAAAACTGAAGCACCCACAGGGCGAATGCTTTAACCAAGGTCACTCAGGGGCAAAGTTGGGGCCGGCTCGGCCTCCCGACGTCTAGCCGGGTCTTTTTCCTTGGACATAAGCATCTTCCCATCACAGGGAAGAAAGAATGCATTCTCTGCAAGGTGTCCAGGCTTCCATCCTCCCCTTCTACCCAGCATGCCACTTTCCCCAGGAGCTTCTGGGTGTGTAAGCCACTTACCTGAATGGGAAAGGATGTGGGCCTTCAGCTTGTCTGGCCGATTGAACTCCTTACTGCAGCCTGTATGCGTGCTATAACAACCAAATCCTCTTATGTCCGGGAAGCTGGAGTCACTCAGACTGACCCTCCCTCCATGCCACAAGAGGCATCTTATCCTGCAAGCAGCCCCCTCTCATCAGCTGACTAGGAGAGGTGGGACTTGGGGCAGAACAGATGAGGTAAACAAGGAATAAATGTCCAAGCGCGGAAGGGAAATCTTCCACCCTGGAGTCTTCCCCAGAGCAGGGCCCTAGTCTTACCAATGAGAATACTTATTTAGGGAGGGAGGGCATCTGTTTACCAGTTTCTGGGAGCAAGTGCCCAAGGACCGATGGACTTTCTTGCCCCTAGAACAAGAAAGGCTCAAAACTCGTCAGCTTCAACATCAAACACATTTCCCCAGCTCATAAGAGAAATATGTCAGAGCAAGAAGGGACCTTACACAGATCATCTAGCTCAACCTTCTCATTTTACATATGTGGACACTGAGACCTTGAAGAAGGAATGGCCCTTGACAAACACACCCAGTCCCGGATTCTTTCCACAAGACAAAACATAGCCCCTGCCCCACGTACTGGACACCCTGACACTGCTCTGTCCTGCCCCACGTGCCATTCAGGGGCTCTGATGGCTCCAGCCAGCAGCATTCCTTTGTTAAAACCTGCCCTGGGAGGATCAGCAGCCCTTCTTTCACCACCCCTGCCCCTGCCCAAAAGTGATGCTACTTACGAGAAGGGGCATGTATATTTCTTGGTTGGCTCGTGGATCAACATGTGTCGCTTCAATTTGTCTTTCCGATTAAAGGCTGAGTCGCATAAAGAGCATTTAAAGGGCTTTTCACCTGTATGGGGGAAACAGCAAAGGCCCAAATGACCAGGATTTAATCGTCTACAATTATTTTCCATGAAAGGGGAGGCAGGGAGCTCAGCACAGCACTGAGAAGCCTGGGAGAACAGAAGCCTACCCTCCTTATTCCTAAGGAGCAGCAAGGTGCCCAGTTGGCTTCAAAGTCAGGAAGAAGACCTGGCCTCTTCTCCCCTCCAACACCTACTGGGAGAGGGCATTTAAACTCACAATTCTCTAAGACTCTAAGGTACAGATCCGTATTGGTGGGTGGATTCCCTCATTGGGGAGTTCCATTTACTGAAGAAATCACAAGTCCAGGAAAAAAAAAATTACTTCACTAAAGACAGAAGAAGGGAATAATCATTTATTAAGCACCTGCTGTGTGTTGGGCATTATGCAATTATTATCTCATTTGATTCTCATAACAACCCTGGGAGATAGGTGCTATTATTACCCCTGTTTTACAGTTGAGGAAACTGAGGCAGACAGACCACTGTCACACAATTAGTAAGAGGCCTGATTTAAACTCAGGTTTTTCTAACATGGGGCAGCTAAGTGGTGCAGTGGACAGAGCTCCAGGTGTGAAGTCAGGAAGAGTTGAGTTCAAATCCAACCTCAGACACCTACTGGCTCTATGACCCTGGGCAAGTCACTTAATCCCATTGGCCTCGTTTCCTCATTTCCAAAATGAGCTGGAGAAGGAAATGGCAAACCACTCCAGTATCTTTGCCAAGAAAACCCCAAATGGGGACCATGAGGAGTTGGATATGACCGAAACCAGTGAACTACTACCTGACTTTAGACCCAGTTAGGTGGTACAGAGGATAGAGTGCTGGGCCTGGAATCAGGAAGATCTGAATTCAGATATGGTCTTGAGCACTAGCTGTAAGACCCCAGCCAAATTACTTTACCTTCGTTTACCTTGGTTTCTTCAACTGTAAAACAGGGCTATTATTATCAATAGCACCTCCCTCCCAAGGCTGTTGTGAGATCAAATGAGATAGTAATTGGTTTTTTTAAACATTTATTTATCAATATTCACTTTTATAGGATTGAGTGTTAAATTTTCTCCCTCTCCTTCCCTTTTACCCTCCCCAAGGTGGCGTGCGATCTGATATAGGCCATACATGTATAATCATATTAAACATATTTCCACATTAGTCATGTTGTAAAGAAGAAGGGAAAAACCAAAGGGAAAAACCATGAGAAAGGGGAAAAAAAAGGAAAAATAGTATGCTTCAATATGAAATAATAACTGTAAAGCCCTTAACATAGTACCCAGCACACAGCAAGTGCTATATAAATGTTAGCTGTTATTATTATCCATTGTATCACCTAGCTTTCTAAAACAGCCAGAGAAACAGACAGGAAGAAGGAAAGGAAAGAAAGAAGGAAGGAAGGAAGGAAGGAAGGAAGGAAGGAAGGAAGGAAGGAAGGAAGGAAGGAAGGAAGGAAGGAAGGAAAAGGGAAGGGAAGGGAAGGGAAGGAGGGAAGGAGGGAGGAACAGGGAGCACTAGACCTGGAGTCAGAAAGTTTAAGGGTTCATATCTGGTTTCAGACACCAGCTGTGTGACCCCGAGCAAGTCACTTAACCTCTACCTGCCTTAGTTTCCTCATGCATAAAATGGGGATAATAGTAGCACCTACTTCCCAGGGTTGTCATGAGGATCAAATGAGGTAATATTTGTAAAATGCTTTATAAACCTTAAGTCACTATGTAAATGCAAGAGTTGGGAGCCTGGTATGAGGGATACAGGCTCTGAGTTCCTAGAACCCTACAGTAATGCTTACTGCTGAGGTCAGTCATAAAATAGCCTGCTTTACTCAAAAAGGTAAACACCCCCCAAAATCAGCAAAGCCCCAGATCCTACTTGTAAGGAGAGCCATACAGCTCCAAACCAAAGGGAAAATGAGGTTATAAGAGGGAGACTATATCAGATGTCTTCTCCATCACAAGCTTGGGAGCTAAGGAAGGATCTATGAAGGTAGTAGGGCCAGAAAATAGTTTTTGAAAGACGGTGGAGGTCAGGGATGATGTGTGGAGACTGTTCCCAGGATATGGGAGCAGCGGGGAATGAAAGGAGATAGGGATCAGGGGGTGAAAGGTGTTTGGACCAAATTGGAGAAAGAGAGGCAAATGAGGGGGGAAAACCTTAACGGTTTTTTAATATCAAGAGATATTCATTAGGCCTGTGAGGCAGTGAAAGGGGGATGTGACAGGTAGGTAGCAAGAGCAATGTCAGGGATAGAAAAAGCCCCAGGCAGCAGCCCTGAGTGCCTGCCTCCACCTACCAGAATGGATGTGGGCATGCAGCTTGAGGTAGTGTTCCCTCCGGAAGAACTTCTTACATATCTGGCACTTAAACTTGCCCCCGCTGCCGTGGGTGGGCAGATGACGTCGAAGGTACCGCTCGCAGGGGAACACCTGGGGGAGGAGAAGAGGAGGCAGCATCAGGAACCAAGCTCACCGGGAGCCACTGCCTTCTCCGCTCTCTAGCCCCATGACTCGGCTCTTGGGGCTCTCCCCACTAAGCTAACTGAAGGAACATTTTCCTACGGGCGAGTGAGGACTTCTCTCCTGTAGCCTAAGGGATGGAGGCAGAAATCAGCTCTGGTGACTGTAATTTCACTGCTTACCCTTTCTCCCACATCCTTCTATCCAGGGAAAAGCAAGAATGCAAACCATACAGAAAACACTGAAACCAATCAGTCAACATATATTTGCTAAGTGGCTACTATGTGCAAGGCCCTGTGACGAGTACAAAGATGAATAGGGCATAGTACCCACACTTGAAATGTTCTTTTTTTTTTTTTAGCATCACAGTGGGGGTTACTCTGTGAAATTACACCAAAGTACAGGATGCGTTGGGGGAAAGGGGGATGCCCCCCATGTGAGGCCTCCAAACATGTGTGTTATTCCATTAGCATTTCCTCCCACCCAGAGGGGTTTTCCCCTCCCCTTAGGGCTCCAGGGCAGAGTCCACTGAAAAACTGGGCCAAACCAATCTACCACAGCTGATCTGACCACCTGCTCCAACTCCCCCCAGAGTCCCCACCCTGTGGCCTTGGGGACCGAGGCAAAGACACAGAAGAGCTACTAACCAGAGCGGGGGTTCCAATTCCCCTCCTGAGCTACCTCAGTACAAAGCGGTCAATCCTCTGAGATTGGCCCCGCCCCCATGGCGAGCCTCTCACTTCCTTATCTATAAACAGAGGAGTAAGTAGCTAAATTTTAGTTTGGAGTTTTCATGTTCTTTGTGGGGGCGAGGGGGAATGATCAAGTAAGCTATGAGAATCCCCATCTGTCCCTTGACTCTCCATGGCCCTAAGCCCTTGGGGAAGGGAGGAATAGAGGTAATGACAGATAGGTCTCAACCAAAAAAACCCCCACATACTACCAGGTTGAGATGGCCGAGTTTGGGCAGGGGTACAAGGAAGAGGCTGCAGCAGAGAGCAGATCTGCCTCTGCCTAGACCAGGTGCCCTGGGTCACAAAGGATTATTTTAGCAAGCAAGCCCTAACTCACTCCAACCTGCTATGCCTCAGAACCACCACTGTAGTAAAAGACAGTAAGAGCCCAAGAGCCCTCCAGTCCTTGGGGTGGGCAATTTGGGGTCTGGCAGAGCTCAGAGCCCAAAGCCATCCATAACAAATGTTACAGAGATACTTGGGGACAGAGCTGTATTCTTTAGGAATAAAGGAATGAGTGCTGTCTCCTCACCTAAGACACCCTAGAGGACCTCCCAGTACGTATTGAGGTAGGAAGGGAGAAGGAAAAAAAAGGAAGGAAGTCCCAGTTTCTGGGCCACCCACTCTTTCTAGGCACCTTTCAGGGGGAAACAAGCACTCACCTTCTGACAGTGTGGACAGGGGAAGTTGTGAGTTGCTGTCTGGAGGTGGTGCTCCAGGGCTTCTGGGGTAGAGTACTTATTGACACATTTGACGCACCTGAATGGGAAGGAGTAAGGAGAGCTGAAGTATTGGAGACTGGACTCCCCAGGACAGGCAGTCAAAGTTCAAGCCAGACCACCGGCTTTTTGCCATCCCAGAAACCTGTCCAAGGAACAGCAGTACGTTAGGAATGGAGGAAAAGGATACTCAGCCAACAAGGCAAATCAGCAGTCCTCCATCCTCTTCTCAGGATCTCTGCTGCCTCATCTGTCATGTGGCCTAGTAATCACCCTCTCTGACTAACTCCGTTTTCCCAACTGGCTGTGCCTAAACCTTTCAAGTTCCTTTCTCATTCCTACCATCAATTAGTACAATTTTTTTTGAGCCATGGGCCAGACTCTCTTCTTAGGCTCTCAGGCCTTCTACTAGGTCTTCCAAAAAATGGTTTTCAAATACCTCCTGCCACCTAATCACTTTGAGATGGTGAAGGAAAAAAAAAAGACCACCAACACACATGTTCCCACTTATCACAGAAAAAAATAACCAGAACAAATAGGAAAATGGTTCAATTTTTTGTAAGCTACAGTAAAGAGAGCCTTAGTGATGAACTGATATGTCAAGATGCCATGATTTTTTTCAGTACAGACAGTTCCTCCACCAATAGCAGCTCATCTATAACTGAGTCCTTCAGGTCTCAGCTCAGGTACCACTTTTTTCATGAAGACTTTCCCGTTCCCCCAGGGGCTGGTGCTTTTCCTCTCCAATTATCTGGTATCTATTTTGTATCTACCTATGTATTTGAATGTTGTCTTTCCTGGCTACACTGTAACTGCCTACTGGACAAGAAGCCCCTAACAAGGTTTCTGGCCTAATAAATACCTCTTGGTTGGTGAGTCTCAGATGAGTCTTAAGGAGCTGCCAAAGGCTCAGAGAGGATAAGTCACTTGGCCCTAACTGTCCCAAAGCTAGGATCAAACGCAGGATCTGAACCCAGGTGTGACTCCAGTTCTAGCACTCTATCCAACAGACCAGGTTGACTCTCAATGAGAATTAATGTCAGAAACTAATACAGATGTTGTCAGGTTACAGACATTGATATTCGAAGAGACCCACCCCCAGACCCCTGGAGGACATTCACACAACACAGTTTGAGAACCACTGCCTTAATCGGAAGAAGGGGTAAAAGGGGAGGGGAGAGAAACAGAAACAGAGAAGGGGAGGGGATGGCAGGAGAGAGGAGAGAAAGAAGGGGAGGGGATGGCAGGAGAGAGGAGAGGAGAGAACCGTGTGTATGTGCAACCACATACATATGAGTGAGACAGAAACTGTCCTCCACCCTAAATGCTTACAAAACCCTAAGTCCAAGTGTGAACCACAGCAAGAGCTTCAGCAAACAGAAAGGTGGTGACTCTTGAGCTAATTAACCTCCCCTCCCAGGTACAAGACATGATACAAAGAACCCATGCCTGCTTTCTCAGCAGACTGTGCTACCCTCATCTCCTAAGCACAAATACCTCACAGGTGAAACACTTTTTTCTTTGTTTCTGACAGTGTCAACTGGTGCTTCATGTCCTGCATCTCTCTTAGCCTGATGAGGAAAGTCTGTATTTTTCAACACCAAAGGAAAAAGTTTGCACCCTTCCAGTTGTTACTTCCTAAGGTTTAACTGGATTCCAGGGGGAGGGCATAACAGACCTGAATTACACTCCCTCTCCCACACTCCTCTTCTCCAAGTTCTTTTCTGAAATCTGCTCAAACAGTCTGGTCCCAAGCTACGTCCTAACCTTTGGGCTCTGATCCTGCTGAAGAGCCAGATCAGAACTCTTTCGGACTGTGGCTGGAAAGGTCTGGTTGCCTAGGATACCAAGAGGTGGGAGCACTGTGCTAACACGAGGAGTGTTTTCCTGCTAAAAGGACAGGCTTCTAATCAAAAGGGGCTTTCTTCCAAACATATTTGAACACAAGACTTAAAATGGACTAAGGTTTCTGTGGCTCCAAAAAGTGAAGGCCAAAAGGTGTTTATAGTGAGAAATCAAAACTCAGGAGCACGTCCTGGGGTTCAGATCACTTTGCAAAGATGAAGGGGAACAGACTTAAAAATTCAGGTTTCACATTTAGAACCCTGCACATTCATAGGTCCCAACAAATAACCTTGGCTGTCCACACAGATCCTGCACCTTATGAAAGGCAATGTGGGGGAGACGATCTGGGTTCATCTCACCCCTGCCACTTATCAGTGATGTGACTATGGGCTGCTCATTTCACCTAATCTATGTTTCAGTTTCTTCATCTATAAAATAGAGTTATTTGCAATCTCTTTTTGACACAGTTCTTGTGAGAGATGTACTTTATAAACTTTAAATAGAGGCTGTTATTATTATAGATGAAAAAAGTTGGTTTAGGGCAGATGACACATTATATGTACAAAAGAAAAAAAAAGCCTTAGGCATGGATGTTGGACATGAATTAACCAACTAACCACCCTGTCCTGTGTGTCAGATCCCACAGCTGGAAACATGAACCAGCCCCTGCTAAATGATCTACACTCTGTTCCTTAGCTCCTGGTGCCCTCCCTTCCCACTCCAGCCTCATCTATGACTGTCAGAGCCTGGTGCTTTCTAGATGTCACCCATGCAGTGAGAACACAAACATTCAGAAACTTGTACATTTACTAGTCCCAACAGATGACCCATGGATGTCCGTACTAATACTGACAAGAAGAAAATACATCTATGTGCTCAGATTCCTGGCACCTCCTCAAAGGTCTGCATGGGTTCTGAGCTTCACAAAAACTCAGTTCTGCCTGCCCGGGATTCTGCTGTAGGCAAAAGTGGCCCCTGCCTGTAGATGCCCTGACATTACTTGTAGACCGTGACATCCTTCTTGGGGCTGTGCTGAGGCAGGAGGCTGTGAGAGTACTGGTGCACACCCAGCTCATACAGAGAGGGAAAGTCCTTGCTGCACAGGTGACATCGGTAGCTCAGCTCCTCCTGGTGACTCTTGATATGCTCCAGGAACATGTCTAGCTTCTGGAACGTCTGGGCGCAGCTCTTCACGACACACTTGTACACCTGGAGGGAGGCCCCAGGCAGTGGGGAGAAAGGGGTAAGCAATAAGGAGAGGTGCCTGCCCCTTCCATTCCCTGCTGTCAGATCAGTCATGGCTCAGGACCCAGACAAACAACCTCTATTTCCTCCTGCAAGCATGGTGCCATGGGCAGGAGGTCTGGCTGAGGATAAACCTGCTTGGAGCAAGCCCCGAGCCAGAGGCATTCACTCCTACAAGCTGCCCTTCTCCTGGGGTTGACTCAGGGGCCTTTCTTTACTGATGAGGTTTATGGCCCTCTGTGATAGGTCAGCAGGCAGGCCTCACTCAAGTAGGATTTGGCAGGGGACACAATCGCCCTATGTCTCTGACAGAGCTGTCCCTTTCTAGATTATCCCAAGGCCACTGGTATCAGAGGAGGGTGACCAGTTCCTCAGCCAGGCAGGACTCAGGAAGAGGGTGAGGATGGAGTAGACCAGTGACCGCCTACCTGCTCATTCTTATGCTGGGTCATGTGTGACTTGAGCTGGAAGTATGTACTGAACTTGTTTGGACAGAACTGACACTGGTAAGAGCTGTCGATGAGGACCACCTGCTTGGCTTCCAGTTTTCCTGGCTCACTTTCATCAGCTGAAGCCATGACCTGAGGCTGGGGAACAGTCCTGGGGGGCTGGCTAATCCCTTCAGAAAACCACAGAGGATGAATCAGGACAACGATGGGAAAGAGCTCAATTAATCAGCATTTACTTAGCACCAACAATGTGCTTGGTGTGATGCTGGGCACTCTGGGAGATAAAAAAGAAAAATGAGTCTCTCCCCTCAGGGAGACAACATTCACATGAAGCATTTAAATAACTGTACCAGGCAGTAAACCTAGATTTACCATGCAGCCCTTAGGGAGGAGGGGACTGGACAGGAAGAGCTGCATCCTGCCTGCCCACTGAACAGTCCTAGCCACCAGGAGGCTTGAGGATACTTGAGACCAAGTTCCCCCCCCCAAGACAGGCATAGATACCCTCAGCCCCAGGGACCACAAAGGAATGCTCCACAAAAAGGAACAACTTCTTTGCCTTGGGGAACGTAGAATGACACTTTTCTGGTCGTCCTCTTGATACAGAGTGTTAACAAATCTGTGGGAGTAGTGCCAAGCAACCCAAAGGGCTGAGGACATCTCTAGGGCTGACACCTCAAGCCCTGGCGCCTGACCTGCCCCAGTACCCAGCCCATGGCTCCTCAGCTTCACACCTGAGTCCTCCTCATTCTCCTGCTGGGTGGGGTTCAGGGCCATGACCTGAACAGTCACTGAGTTCCGGGAGATGGTGCACCCATGCCCTGGTGGCCACACCTTGTGGGTCTGCATGTGCTTCTTGACATTTGACTTCTGTGCAAAGGCCCGGCCACAGACAATGCATTGGAAGGGTTTCTCCCCTGTGTGGCTAGAGGGAGAGAGAAGTCAGTTGTCCAATCATTTGCTTAAGGGAGGGATGCTAGCTACTCTCTGGAGCCAGGAGAGCTCAGGTCACACTCCTGGGAAGACCCCATGGGCTGATGCAGAGAAAATTCACACCTGGGCTGCCTGTACCCACCATACAAGGGCCCTGGAGGAGTAAAGGGAAAAGAAGGATGCCTTATTTGCTCTGGAGACACTGCCATTTTTCCCCAGTGCTCCAGGCAACAGAGAAAAAGATGCCAAGGCCCTGCCATGGTCAGAGCTCCCTAAACAGTGGGGAAGCTGGGGGCAGCTGTGGCCTCCCAGTCCAAGGTGGGTAGAAGAGCTGGCGCCCTCCTCAGAGATAATACCTGACCTTCCCCTCCCAGGTACCTGCGGATGTGCTGCTGCAGGTCAAAGTTCTTGGTGAATGCCTTGTTGCAGTAGGTACACTTGAGTTTCTGACACTTGGGTTTCCCTGCAGCAGAGACCAAAATGGGTGTGGGTGGGGAATAAGGAGGAATTAGAATAGGAGGGAAGTAGATGGCAGGGCTTTACTCATAGCTCACCTCCATGGCAGCAGCTGCACTAGCTGAGGCATCACACATGGCAGAGGCAACAAGTGAAGGCACATATTTCATCCCCACTGAGGATGAAGGCACCCCAGCCCTGAAGCCCTACCTGCAAAGCCTCTGAAAAGCATCCTGGTCCTCTTCCCATTCAATTTCTGCCACCTGAACCTGAGGTTCCCCCAAAGAAAAGGCCTCAAAGAGAGGCTCTTAATCTCTTCTATGTCATGGGCCATCTGGGCAGTCTAGTGAAGTCAATGGACCTCTTCACAGAATGGTGTTTTGGAATGCATGGGATAACAAAGGAAACCCATTATATTGAAATACAGCTAGCTATCTATATCTATATATATATATTTTTTTGGTGAAGCAATCGGGGTTAAGTGACCTGCCCAGGGTCACACAGCTAGTAAGTGTCAAATGTCTGAGGTCAGATTTGAACTCAGGTCCTCCTGACTCCAGAGCTGGTGCTCTAACAATTGCATCATCTAGTTGCCCCTATCAAAACATATTTTTAAGAAAAACCTAACTACACGGACCCCAGATTAAGAACCCCTACCCTAGGGCTGCCTCAGGTGTGTCCTGCCTAAGATTTTTAGCCAAAAAAGAGCAATTGCCCAGGTGACTCACATACCAGAAGTAGAAGCCCAATAGGAACTATCTGCCAGCCCCTTCCCATGACGTAAGCTCCTCAGGGCAGGGGCTGTGGCTGCCCTTCTTTGTTTCCCAAGCACCTGGGATAGTAAATGCCCCAATGAATGCTTATTGTCTGGCTGTCTGATCACCACCAATGTGTGACTCCCAGCTCTGAGGTGCTAGGTGTATAATGGAAGCTGAATGCAATTAAGTATATCATTAAATTCATGCAGTCCACACAAGATTTCTGATCACGTGGCCCACTACTGAAAAACCTGGATGCTCCTGACCCAGAAGGGTAGCCCCAGGAACCAAGCAGTTTGCTCAATGTCAGGACGCTTGGCCACCGGCCAAGGAAAAGGGACCTGGACCCTACCTTCTTGGAGCCCGCCATCACTTTTGGGGCGCCGGGTCTTCAACGTGGAGGGGGAACTGAAAGCAGCCACATTACCACTGGCGGTGCTGGTCAGGGGGGAAGGTGGGGTTGGCCCTTTGGGTTTGAAGCCCTGTTTCCCGGGGCTATACACAGGGGGGCTGGGGTACACAGGATTCTCCACACACTGGTTTGGGACCTGAAAGCACAAAGTTATCAAGGAGAGCTCCCCAGTATACTTAGAGCCGCCTGAACCAAGGATGGAAGAGTTACACATTTATAAATGTTAGCGCCAGGTGGGACCTTAGCAACTCTGGTGAGTCCCCGTCCTTCTCTGGGCCTCAAATACCCTCCTCTGGAAAGTGCAGGGAGGAGATGAGATGATCAATAAGGTCCCATCCAGCTCTAAAATCCTCTGATTATAAGAGATCTGAATCAAACTCTACTCAGCAGAACTTCATCCGAGAATCAAAAAAGTTAAATGATTGCCTAAAGCCACCAAGTAAGCTAGCGGACCAAGCCAAGGCAACCCCATTTCAGGACTCTTTCCATTTTATGCTGCTTCTTTGTTAATTCTCCATGATCTCTAAGCATCTTCTCTTCCTTTGCGTTTTCTCCCACTGCCCAGCTATATAACTCATGGTATTATATGACAGTGTAAAATGCTTCCTCCTACTTGACCTGTCTAGCCCCAGCCTGAATGAATTCCTCCTATCTAATAATCCTACAGGAAATTCAGTCAGATCACCCTCTCCCACAGATCTCAAGTGACAAGCCATTCTTATCTCCAACTCATTACATTGGCTGCAGGCTGGCCCATAGGAAAGGCAGATGTGAGCTCGAGAAAACAGCAAATTAACATCCAAGAGGTGTCAGCAATCTATCAGAAAAGCCTGGGAAGCCAAACTGCCCTGTGAGTCACCCACCCCCAAGAGGCCCGAGCAGAGTTTAAAGAGAGAAGTTTACCCCCACTGTCTTCAAAGGGACAGTCCAGGCACAACTGAAGGATCACAGGTCTGGAGCTGGAAGGGACCTCAGAGGCCTCAGAGCCTCTCATTTTACAGAGAAGGAAACTGAGGCTCTTGGTGGGAAAGTGACTTGCCAAAGGTCACACAAGTCAGAGGCACCTTTTGAAACACAGGTCTTGGGACTCCAGAGCCAGTGCTTCTTTCATCCTGCCAAATGGAAGCTACAGCCTCTTTGAGAATCTTGTCTTCAGCCTTGACATCATGTTAGCAGCTTTTCTCCCCTCTAGTCCCACCCTTCTGAGTTGTCTGTCTTCCCACTAACAGCCCAGGACAGTGCCCGACTTTTGAGCCTTTTCATCTGAGCCATGGTGTAGGCCCCTGACTGCCTCTCTCCCAACTAGGATCCTGACAGTGCCCACTGCTTTTTATCCTTTCACCAGGAAACCTCTGGATGTGCCCTCCCTCACTGGCCTCACCTCCCAGCCCCACAGAGATGAGTGTCCCATTACCTCTATAGGTGGGTAGGGCTGCATCCCCAGCGCTTGGATCTCCACCACATTGCTTCCTGCCAGGGGGGCAGGGGCATTGTAAACCTCTACCACTCCACTGCTACCCGTGGTGGGATGTCCTGGAGCCCCGAGATTCTGCGGAGGCGGAGGCGGAGGGGGTGGGGGAGGAGCTTGTGGGGGAGGGGGAGGGGGCAATGGTGGAGGGGGAGGAGGAGGTGGTGGAGGCTGAGGGAGGTAGCCAGGCCCTGAGTGCATACTCAGGCTGCTCTAGAATGAGAAGAGGTAAAATGGAAAATCAGAAAGAAACATGGCATTAAGATTGGACATCATCATAACAGAAAAATACCTTAAATTTGTTTAGCACTTTACAGTTTATAAAGCACTTTTATATAAAATAGCCCATTCAAAGTTCATAGGAACACAGTCAAGGTAGACATTAGCACCACCCTCATTTTACAGATTAGGAAACTGAGGTTCAGAGAATCTAAGTGACTTCAGCAAGATAACACATACATCATGTCTCTTTCAACCCAGAAACCAAACCCGCCTGTGTGAAAAGCAGAGTTATTTGGGGAATGGGTTCGGAAGAGGAAGCTGAAAGGGAGACCATGAAATAAAACTGGATTTGTGCTCAGGACAGCAATGACCCTTTACTGCTTTTCCTTCTGATTAAAGCACTGCTATGAGTGCCCTGGCTCCATCCAGGAACAGACGTGACTTCACGGCTCCAGGCCAGGCAACAACCATCTCTTTTACCAATGGCAGCCTTTGTGAAGGTCTGCAGCAGGGCCTTTACACTATAACTGTTCATTCATTTTATACTGCCTGGTTTGTGATTTCTATGACCCTTCTTATGTTACATATACAGTAGAAAGGATATGCTTGCTTCTTAGAATTTTCTAACTACATTCCTCTTGGAATGCAAAGGAATTAATATTGCTTGGTAAAGAACATACACATGCATACCCACATTTATACACAGCTATGCTAATAACTGAGGCCTTTTCCCCTACATTAGGATCTTTGTGTATTGGAAGTTTATTGCCCTCTCCCCTACAGAATCTAAATTAGCAAGTCTATGTGAAATCCCCAAGAGATAAAGCTCTAAGGGCTTCCTTCAGAGGATCTTTAATTCACACCTGAGAGGACCACTCAAAGCCATCCTCTGGTGATGGATGGACTGGGCAATTTTGAGGCAGAACTCTCTGGAAAGTGCATACCCATATTAACTGGCTGCTTTCCTGAATATTCACATAGTTTTAATTGCTTCTTGGTTTCTTTTTCTTTCAGCCCTAAAAGCAGCCAAGAGAGTCTGAACCTGTCTCCCCAATTATACCTTCAAAAATAAGTGTCTACCTAGGCCCAAACAGCCCCATAGCACCTGGGATCATCAGTAAGACCCTTCATATCATACTTGTTAGCCAAGCTGGAATTGACGGGGGTCACTCCAATCCTATCATTCTTATCTTCCCCTCAATCAATTACAGTGCTCAAAATTCAGACATAATAATCTTGCTCCCCACTAATCACTGCCTTAGAATACTTAAAATGGAGGGAATATTTCTGATACACATCAAAAGAAGAGACCTTTTTTTTGGGGGGGGGCTAGGCAATGGGGTTAAGTGACTTGCCCAGGGTCACACAGCTAGTTAAGTGTTATGTGTCTGAGGCCGTATTTGAACTCAGGTCCTCCTGACTCCAGGGCTGGTGCTCTATCCACTGCGCCACCCAGCTGCCCCAACTTTTTTTTTTAACACAAAAGAAATTCTTGGAAGCCATAGTAGGAGCTGCCATACCATCATCCAATCTGGATACAGATTTGAAGTTCCCAGATTTTGTAGCACACCATTCCTGTGGCCTCCGTCAGCTGTGCGGAATATCCTTTAATAAGTCTCATTTGAAAACAATTCTTTGTCATATGGCTCTCCATGAATGGGAGAGAGTGGGATACAGGGGGAATTTAGGCAATATAAAAACAAAAGAGATTAGTAAAAAATTATTTTTAATTTATCTTATGTTTCTATTTGGGTACATAAATCTCATGTGGCTATTTTCTCCTTCTCCTTTTCCTACTACAGAAACTGCGTTGCCACATAATCATTCCTTTAGAGAGATCTTTGCTACCAAACATAAGCACTAAAATGGGGAAACTGATCAATATCCTCATTTTAAAACACCTAAAACTCACACAAGGAGTTCAAAGGGGCCCTAATTCAAGGACCTAGTGTCTGCCTGAATTATAGGAGATTGAAATTACTCATAAGGGAGAAAATAAGAATAAATCATTCCTTACTTTTCACCAAGATCTTTGAAAAACAGTGGGCAGCTTATAGGTTAGAGAGTGAACCAAGACAATAAACAAATTTAATTTCATGAAGAAGCTGTAATCTATTATCCTAATGTGGCATGAATTCTCCTTACCTGCACCGGAGGCTGCACAGGGGGCTGCACAGGGGGCATTGGCTGATCCAGTGATGTGAAGGCTGACATGGCTGACATGAGCACTTCATCACTCACCAAAATGTTCCCTTGTACCAGAGTCTGGATCAGAGGGGACGGGGGCACTGTGATGTATGTAGAGATCTGCTGCAGGGAACACACATGAGAACTGGATGTCACACAAAAAGGGATCTCCAACATTGGAAAGAACCCAATGCCCCCTCTCTGAATCTCTCTTCTCCTGACTCAGCATGATCATTGGCAGAAAGGCCACACAGGTGAAGAACTCCCCTGTTCAGAGACACTATCATCTAACAATAAAAAGAACTGATTTTAGAAAGCATTTTAAAATTTGCAAAATCTCTTCATGTTGTTTCTTATGTACATATCTATGGTAAACTCTGGACTTTCATTTGCTTTCATATTGAGCACATGGCACAGAAAGGTTTACTGAAAGTCAAGGGATATAGAGACCAAAAAAGATTGGCAACACCTCTACTATCTCCATTTTACAGATAAGAAAACAGGCCCAGGGAAGTTAAGTGGCTTACAAAGGGTCATATAGAAAGCAAATGTGGAATGTGAACCTTGATCATCCTGACTCCAGGACTGGCACTAACCACTCCATCACTAACAGGATATACTTTTCACAGACAAAATAAGAACAATACAAGACAGGTGAGAGTCTTCAAGAGACAGGGTTACAAAGAACAGAATGACAGAACACAATTTAATCACTTCCCTCTTCTGTTTCACTAATCACTGCAACAGACAGGACCTCTCATCAACCCTGTACCTGACAGAGATATTTATAATCCTCCAAAGATACTAATCTCTATTTTCATTAAAACAAAACAGAATAAACTAAATTTAGACTCTGAGCAACAAATTATATTATTAATATATATTTATATATAATATATAATGTATATTAATACTCCATCACATACGGACTCAACTGTCCCTTCTTGAAGTCTGAGAAGCTCCATTCTCTCAAAGGGAAGTAAAGATATAATAAATAATAATGAGAATAGTAATAGCTAGCATTTATACAACCCCTACCATGTGCCAGGCACTGTGCTAAGGACTTTATAACTATTATCTCATTTGATCACCACAATAATCCTAAGAGATAGGTGCTGCTATTACCCCCATTTTATATTTGAGGAAACTGAGGCAAACAGAGGTTAAGTGACCAGGGTTACACAGCTACTAAGTGTTTAAGGCCACATCTGAACGTAGGTCTTCCTGGCTCTAGGCTCAGCACTCTATCCACGGTACCACCTAGCTGTTCCTATATTTTTGCCATAGCATCAAACACAAATCAGTTCACTTCCTCTACTGACAAAGAAAGCAAACTGCCCTTGTCTGGGAATCATAATCCACGCTCAGCTGAACTCTTAACATTTGATCAACCAACTCTGGGGAGTTTCTGTTCTTTGAATAAGGGAGAAAAAATTTAAAAGACAAAATCATCTTTAATTGGGCTCAAAATACAAAGTTTTAAAGGGGAACATGCTTGACCAAAGATATAGGTTCTCTAAAATTTTCATGGAGCTGAAATCTTTCTCTGCAGCTTGCCAACTCAAATATAGTAATGTTACTACTGCAGTGAGAACCCAGAGGAGAAGCCAGGCTGAATGAGAAATAAAAATGACCAATCTAGTTTCATTGTTACGGCTGAAAGAAAAAAAATGCAGGCAATTCCCTTCCCTTAGAATGTTTTGTAGCTCTGAGGTCTTCTATTTGAGCAGCCAGCTACCTTTGACTAATTTTTCTTTTTAAATTCAAGGCCTCTCTATCTCACCCAGGTTGGAAGTATAGTGGTCACTGATGGGCCAATCCCAAGGCTAACTGACATGGAAACTTTGACCTGCTCCATTTTCCACCTAGGCTAGTTCATCCCTCCTTAGGCAGCCTGGTGGCCTTTCACTCCACAAGGAGCTCATCATATTGGTGTCAAAAGTAGTGAGAATACTCGATCAGCTTTAGCCCCACTGTAGCTCAGAACTCCCCAACTCAGGTGACCCGCCAGCCTCAGCACCCCCTGTAGCTGGGAATTCTAACATGTGGTATCACACACAGCACTAATGTTTGGGTTTGATTTTTTTAAAAATTTTTTAGTTGGTCAAGTACACTGAAACCAAGCTAGGACACTGATTATGCTGAAAAAAAAAACATATCCACTTCTTGGTGGATCTGAGTGGTCCTCTTAAGGCAAAATTCTAAAACATGGTCTAGCTGCAATATGAAGATGTAGTAAGTAGCCACTGTCATGGTTTTCACCTGTATGTTTAGCTTGTATTTCTAAAATGTTAATCCAGAGAAATCAACTGCACAACCTAGAAACTGTACTTGGGGAAAGGACATTGATGTCAAGCCAGGGCCCTTGGAAATGCAAGTTAAAATTACTGATAACTGTCTTGGTATTATCATTGTTCCCTTAAACACGGTGGGCAGATTTTCTTGTGTTCTTTTTTATTGGCATTCAGAAATACTTTTTGAAAGAAAAAAAAAAGCTCACAATTCTTTCATTCTGACAAGACATAGGAAACAGAACAGCATGCCCAGGGAATAACCTGGAGAAACCTCTCCTGAGATGTTTTCTTCCTATCTCCTCTCATAAGTACATCTGGACTCCCCTAGAAGGTCATCCAGAAATTTGCCAGTATATACATAATATGTTTACACTTTTAGAAGAGTGAATGGGAAGGGACTGCAGATGCCTAATCCCTTGAAAACTCTGCCAGTTAGCCCAGCATTCTGAGAAGGGGCCCCCTCTCCTTTGTGGATCTCTTCCAACCCTTCCTGTGGGTTTCTCTGAGTCTTTCCATAGCTGCTGCCTCACCCTTCTACCTCCCCCAGACCTAGTTGTAAAGAAGTCCTCAAGGTTACCTGGCGATTGGCTGGTGGAGCCTGCTGCACAGATGTAACGGAGGGTGCGTAGATACTATTGGTGGCCAGGGAGACAGCAGCCAGTGCAGGAGCGCTCCCCTGACACTGCTCCCGCTTGTGGGTCATGAATGCTGGTAATGAGTTGAATTGCTTTTTACACTTCCCACAGAGAAAGACATCTTCATCATCTATAAGTCAAATAGGGAGGGGGTGGTAACAGAGAGTAAGGGAAAGTAGGAAAAACCATTATCAGAGAGAATGGCAGAAAAAAGAGGGACTGGAGCTAATATCTGATTTCAGAATGACCACCTGTTCCACTAGACACATCAATGAAGATATTTACTGCGCATAGCCAATACATAGAGTCCTATGCTATGTGCTGAAACAAGAGAGTACCTGCCCTCAAGGAACTTAAGATATGTATACATACATATGTATACATATACACATACATATATGTGTGTGTGTTTATACATTATATATATAATATATTTCAGTTCATATACATATGAACTTTTCAGTTCTATATATATATATATATATATATATATATATATATGGAACTGAAAAGGATATAATGCAACAAATATTTATTAAGTGACTGCTGTGTGTAGGGTACCTATTCTGGGCACTTAAGAGAGAAACAAAGTTTAGATAGGACATAGTCTCCGCAATTAAAGAACATACATTCTAGTTACAAGGATTCTAAAACATAAAAACAGGTAATACACAATATTAAATGAAAGTGTATTAGTGAGTTACAAAAACCAAAAAGCCACAGGAAGTTTGTTATATTGTACCATAGGAGGCCCTGTGATACGTTATACAGTGAAGGTTACAAAGACTTATAAGATAAAGTCCCAGGTAAAACATCATGAAAGTCATAGTCTAGTTGGGCAGATATGTGCACAGGTGACTATAACACAAAATAAAACATAGGTGTTATAAGAGAGGGATGAATAAAATGCTATGAGAGTTCATAAGAGGGAGAGCTTACTTCTGGCTAGAACAACATAAAACCAAATATCAAAAGACCGGACATCTGTAAACAGTGTATTCAAGGTCACTAGTCTTGAAGTTCATCCAATCACAGTATTCTGAGCTAGACAGAGCCTTGGGGATCACATGATTTAGCTCCTTCATTTTATAATAAAGAAACTGAAGCAGGCGTGGGGTGGGGGTGGAAGTGGGGGATAACTAGCCTACATGGGTAGGTAAGTAGCAAAGCCAGAATTTAAACCAGCATTCACAGAGAAGCAAGTCTTGGCCTCAGCTCTCCCACTGACTCCTTTTCTGATGTTTAACAAGCCTTTTGTCCTTTCTGTGTTTTGGATTCCCTCTGTGCAAGAAGGAAAGAAGATGGAAAGAATGTCTGGCCTGTCTGTATATCACAGGGGCCCCAGGAAACTGTTAATAAAGGGCCTTATGGGTCTTTGAGTAGGACATTTTTAATATGCAATAGTAATGCTGTTGTTCAGTCCCTCTACACTGATCCTATTTTCTCAGCATTAAGTGATCCTGAAAGCCAGTATGGAATCTAAGTTTAAAACAAAAAACAAAAACAAAAACAACAACCTATAGGACGGGGAAGGACTGAAGAAAAGGGAAGACCTGGGAAGTGTGGAAGGGGAAAAGGATGAGAACCTGGCAGCATGGCGATAGTGGTGTGTAGACGGAGGAAGTTTGCGAAGCACTACTAAAACATAACTCATCTCTTCTTTCCAGTCTGTCCTCCACATATCTGCTAAAATAGCATTGCTAAAGCACAAATCTGACCATAGCATTTCCCATCTCAAGAATCATCAGTGGTTCCCTCTTGCCTTTAGGAAAAAACACAAACTCTTGAGCTTAAAATTTAGACCACTCCAGAGTCTGACTCCAGCCTACCTTTCTAGGCTTTTTGGACACTACCACCCTTCACACACTCTCTAGGAAAACTAGGCCTCATTTCTATTTTCCACAGTTGGCGCTCCATTTCCACCTCCATTCTTTCGCATATGCTGTCCATATGCCTGGCAAGCACTCCCTCCCATATCTACCCCTTAGCACCTTTAGCTCCTTTCAAGGCTGAATTAAAATGCTGCCTCCTACAGCAAGCCTTTCCTGGTTCCCCTGTCAGTGGTCTCTCCCTCCTCCAGTTATCTTTTCCTTAAATGTGTGGATATGTTGCTTCACCCAAGTAGTGCATTAGCTGCTTGAGGGCAGGACCTGTTTTCATTTTGTCTTTGTACCTTTAACCACCAGCATAGTTCCTGGCATAAAAGGTACTTAACAAATTGCTGAAATGAAATGCTCATTGAATTGAACTGTTAATAAATATTTCTTTGGCTTGTGTTCCCCCACGTGAAGAGTAGTTGATGTTAGGACTCCTGTAGAGACTTACCCAAGGACTGGATGGTGGGAGGGGTGTTGACACTTGGAGCAGTTGGGTCAGGGACTGCCCCCTGTCCATCCCACAGTGACTGAACTGCCAGGACAGTCTGGTTATCTATTCCTAAAAAGAAAAATACAGCCACATTAGAAACCACACACAGTCCACATGCTTTGACTCCCCCTGCTAAGCATATGCACCCCAAGAAGATCAGAGACATAAAGGAAGGTTCCATATATACCAAGAAATGGTTATTGCACACTTTTTGTAGCAACAAAAGAATTGTAACCAAAATAGGCTACTGATTAAACAAATGGTGTACCTGAATGGAATGGAACACTATACCATAAAAGATGATAGATGCTAAGAATGCAAGGAAATACTCGTGCTAAATGGAGTGGGTAGAGCCTGGAGAATAATTTATACAATAACAACAACTTCATAAAGAAAATATCTTTAGAAGTCTTAAGAAACGCTGATCAATACATTCACCAGCTATGATTCCAGAGACATGATGATGAAGCATGCTGCCTGATTCAAATTTTTTGGACACAGTCAATATGAGAATTCATTTTGCTTGACTACATGTGTAAACTACTTATCCCGGTTACTAGGGCTTTGTTTTTGTTTTTCTTTTTCTCCCTAAAGAAGGGGGTGGGATCAAGGGAGGAATATGCATGGGGTAGCAAGAAAAGAAAACACAGGAAAGAACTGTCCTTGGAGCATCTTTTTTTTTTTAAATGTGGAAAGAGCTGGGTGTGGCTGTGCAGGCCAAGAATCCCTGTAGCTGGGGAGGTTGAGGTGGCTTGAGCTCCAGAGCTCTGTGCTGTAATAGGATGAAAGCTCATCGGGCATCCCACACTAAATTTGGCACTGATGTGGTGAGCCCAGAGGAGTACAGGGTCACCAGGCTGCCTAAGGAGAGGTGAACTGGACGTGGCCCACTTCTAACCTGGGCAAGATAGAGTAATGCAGTATCTCCCCTGCCTCCCATCCCCCAAGCAGGCCAGCTTTGAAAGCTACAGGGCAAATGTATACTTATAAAGAAAAGGAAGCTATACAGAACAGAGCTTTGTGGTTCTGTGTATAACTCTCCTTTTCTGTTCTGTTGTGTAGATAGAAATGCTCATTTTCTCTGGTATTTGTTAAGTTCAGAATTAAATTTTTTTTAAAAACAGAGGAAAATATGGAAAAAACACGAATTTATGCAAAATGAAGTAAGCAGAAAGGAGAAAATAATATATACAATAATTACAATGTAAATTAAATGAACATTGTATTTATAATGATAAAACTTGGCCCCAGAGAAGGAGAAAATGTATCTTTCTCCCTTCTTTTCAGAAGTGAGGTCCTATGGATGCGGAACAGTGCATGTACATTAGTTTGGCTGAAATGCTTCTTTTCCACCACCATCTCTTTATTTTTTATTCTTTGTTATAAGGAATGGCTCCTCTGGGAAGGGGCTGGAGTAGGGGAGAATTTTTTTGGAAATTAAAATTATATAAAAACAAGAGCTAGTAATAAAATTTAAAAAAAAATAAACCATGCATAGCCAAGCCTTCCCAGGAGGAACAGCTGCTCCCCCACTAGCCACAGTATGAACCCTTGCCCAAGGCCCAGAGTCCACATCACACACACCCTCAGGGCCTATGCTGCCAGGGTTTTATCATTCTTGGACTCAAGAACAGCTCTCTTCATTATGGATTGAGAGGGAACTACACAACTCTTTTGTTGTCTACCCACCTTTTTTCAAACTGCTGGGTGTGATCTGAATTTATGGTTAAGCTTTCTCTCAGACAGCCAATTTCCTCCTTGCCCACAGCTCAGGGAATGTACAGGTCTGAAGTTTCATCCAGCAAAATGCCTCTACAGAATCTCAAAAACCTAAAGTCATCTCCCAGATGCCTGAAACTAGGCCAACACGTCACCTCAGCTACAACTTATTCAGGCTGACTTCTCCAGCTTGGTCTCACTGGTCTAGCTTTAAAGCAAAAATCCTGACGGTTAAGATTGTCCAGAGGCACTAAAACTGACAGGCGGACAGAAGTAGTTCTAGGCCTGGGAATCTACCATCCACGGCTCTCTTAGACATGGCACCGTCACATATGGCACTGGGGTGCAGTAGATCCAGAACCAGGCCTGGAGTCAGGAAGTTCTGAGGTTCAAATCCAGACGCAGACCCTGACTAGCTCCGTAGCTAAGTCACTTCACTTCTGTCTGCTTCGGTTTCCTCAATCATAAAATGGGGATAATAAATGCCACTACCTCCCAGGTTGTTGTAAAGATCAAATAATACATGTAAAGCACTTAGTGTGGTACCTGCCACATAGTGGATGTTATATAAATGCTTATTCTCTTCCCCTTCATGGTGCCACAGGTATTGATTCCATTCTACCTATGGCTATTTATCTGGATTATAATAGGCTAAAGGAGCACCTAGGCCAAGATTCTAGAGAGGCTAGGGTGAATTCAGGCCTGAGCTGAAGGCTTGGTCCTGTTTAGGACAGGTATATGGTAGCTTTGATCAGTCAAGATTTGTTAAGCACCTGAACATATGCCAGGCTCTATGGGAGGTACTAAGGATATACATACAAAGAATGAAATAATCCCTACTCAAAAGGAGCTTATATTCTAATGGAGGAGATAAGTATATATAAATATAAGGGAATACAAATATCTACACCAAGTTAAAAATAGGGGGATCTGAAAGGCTTCATGCAGAAAGGAGGTGCAAAAGTAGCATCTTGAAAGAAGAGGACTCTCTGAGGAGGAAGTGAGCAGTAAGTACATTCCAGGTATTGGGGGGGGGCGGGATAGCCAGGGCAAAGGCACAAAGATAGAAGACAGAGAGTCAAAGGACATCCAGAAGGCCAGTCTGGCCATACTTCAGAGTGCTGGAAGGGAGAATAATGTCCAGCGAGGTTATAAGGAAAGGTTGAGGCCAGAATGCATAGGGCTTTAAAAGAGAAACAGAATAGTTTCTATTTTACCTAAGGGCAACAGGAAGCTACTGAGGTTGGTCAAGTCACAAGGGAACCACGTGGCCAGATCCACGCTGAAGGAAAATTATTTTGGCAGAATAGGTAGCACAGACTGGAGTTGTCAAGGATCTGAAGCAGACAGACCAATTAGAAGGCTGCTGAGGTGATAAGGGCTTGACCCACGGTGGTAACTGTATTAGCAGAGAAGGGCTCAACTGTGAGCAATATCGGGAAGACAGGAACAGTGAAATCCGGCCACTGATTGGACATGTGGGGTGAGAGAGAGTGAAAAGTGTAGGATAATGCCAAGATTACGGACCTGGAAGACTGGAAAGAGAGCGGTGCTTTCAAAAGAAAAAAAAAGAGAGAAGTTTGGAAGAAGAAGTTTAAGGGGAAAGATAATGAGCTCAATTTTGGACATGTTGAATTTAAAATATCTCTGGGATATTCAGTTTGGTGATTGCTGATATGGGACTGAAGCTCAGGGGACAGACTGGGGACAGAATGTAGATCTGTATGGAGATGACAGTTAAACCCACAGGTTACCAAAAAAGGAGAGGGGGAGGGAAGAGAAGAAAGGGGAAACTGGACCGAACCTTTAGAACACCCATAGTGATGAGGATATGATATGGAGGATGAGCCACCAGAGGAAACAGAAGAAGCAGTCAGACAGGCAGGAGAACCAGGAAAGTGGAGTATCACAAAACCCAGAGAAGAAAGAACATCTGGGAGAGGGTGGGTCAACAGTGTCAAATGAAGCTGACGTGCCATGGAATAGACCCAACCCTCCTTAACAGCTACCTACCTGCCTGCCTCTTCCACCACCAAAATCTGAGAATCAGAGTTAAACTTGGGGTTTGAGCTAAGCTGGCAACAAACAGTTGCCAAATGAACAAACTTCACAAGGAGGCAAGCCATTCACCTGAAGAATTTTGTTCTATTACTAATGCATTGTTGGTAGAGTTGTAAACTGATCCAAACATTCTGGAGAGCAATTTGGAACTATGCCCAAAGGGCTATAAAACTTTGCATAATCTTTGACCCAGCAATAGCACTTCTAGGTCTGTGTCCCAAAGAAATCATAAAAAAGGGAAAAGGATCTACGTGTACAAAAATATCTACAGCAGTTCTTTTTGTGGTGGCCAAGAATTGGAAATTGAGGGGATGCCTATCAATTGGGGAATGGCCAAACATGCTGTGGTATATAAATGTAATGGAATACTACTGTGCTATAAGAAATGATGAACAGGCTGACTTCAGAAAAACCTGGAAAGACTTGTGTGGTCTGATGCTGAGTGAAGTGAGCAGAACCAAGAGAACAAGGTACACAGTAACAGAATCATTGTGTGATGATCAACTTTGAGAGACTTAGCCCTTCTCAGCAATGCCAGGATCTAAGACATCTCCAAATATTTCATGATGGAAAATGCTATCCACATCCTGAGAAAGAACTATGGAGTCTGAAAGCAGATGAAAGCATACTAGTTGCTCTCTCTCTCTCTCTCTTTTTTTCTTTATCATGGTTTTTCCCTTTTTTTCTGATTATTCTTTTACAACATGACTAATGTGAAAATATGTTTAATATCATAGTATATGTATAGCCTATATCAGATTGCATATAGTCTTGGGAAGGGAGGAGGGGACAGAGGGGAGAAAATTTAGACCTCAAAATCTTACAAAAGTGAATGCTAAAAACTAAAAATAAATAAATTGTTTTTTAAAAAACTTCTAGAAAAAGAATTTTGTTCCATGTCAAATTACCATGCACAATACTCTCTAGCTCCATTTCCCCTATATAAAACTGGCATATACTACTTGACTGCCCAAGTACAAATTAGAAATTCAGAGGCTCCAAGGAGTCTGAGATTGTTTACAAAGAGTACATTCCAGGACTAGGTAGAAACTGACGCTACAGGCCGAAGGAGAACTAAAGGAGGGAGGCCCAATGATAGAGTGAAACATCAAATCTCAGTTTCTAAGGCCGAGTTACCTCTGTACTAGCCCTGGACAAATCAGGGAGTTTATTCTAGAAATTAACTTGGAATTATACCAAGAAAGTGTCAAGAATGTCCACATTCTTTGACCCAGAGATCCCGCTACTAACCACGTAATGCAAGGAGGCTAAAGATTAAAAGAAAGATC